AATTTTTTTTTTTTTAATGTATTTATTTAAATAAATAAGCCTCGGCGTCTATGGCCATTGGCATACAAGGAGTAGCAATTATTATTTATTAAGTTAAGTATTAAATAAAGCAATTAAAATAAATATAAGTAAACTAAAAACGTCGTTGAATATGTAATTACAAACCTAAACGTATATTCATAAAATTCTAATGACTAATGTTAAACAAATGAATGTTAAAATACAACTACTCTATAAGCTATAACTATTTTGTTTATTTAGGTGCGAGGAATCGAAATTACTATTGTAGTGCTGGTCTTAATGGTCTGGGTCGGCGCTATAATAATGTTTTTCAACCGCTGGGGCAAAATTAGGATGCTTATACCATATCAACCAGATTAYAAAGACACGCAACTCAAAGTACCCGGAACAGGTGCTTGTAATACAACCAACCCGTGCCAAAACCAAACAGGACCAAGTTTTTGTTGTTCACAGGTCAGTATTGTATTCTATTTTACAAATCTAAATGCTCATTTAAATTGTGTGATGCACGTGAAAATGTGAATTTTGAACATTATTTTCTTCTATTTACTATCATTTATTTTATTTATTTTTAATTTATCAACCTAAATACATTGACCCGAAATGTAATAGAAGTYGGGTGTCAACATAATGTWGTACGACGCGCAGGGTATAATGCATATTTTGTTAGATACCATTAGTCACCAAAGAAACCGTGGATCATGATATTTTTTAAGTAACCTACCTTGTGAAAAGGAAAATACAAATTCCAATAAGCAGCAACCTCAACCTCGTTTGTAACGGTAAATGGAGTGATATTATCAGATGTTGGATAGTCTTCAAAAAATAAAAAAATTCAACAAAATGGAAAATTACAAGTGTAAGTGCTTACTTACTATTTAATGAATTGTATTAAATAAATAAATAATATTTGGAATTCTTAATTAATTGACCAAAGATAAAAGTCATAATATTTTGAATGATGTAATATTATATGGTAGACGATTTGTATTATCTAACCCTAATTTTACCTAAATATACTTGCAAAAGATTATTTACCTTTCAAACAATTTATATAAAATGGTTAATTGTTAAAACTAAAAAATACTTAAGATTTAAAAAACTTGAAGAAAAAAACTTTAGTGTACAATAATGTGTGCACTTATTTTAAACTGATTAATATGCTATTGGTCATACATTGTATGACCAATAGCATATTATAATATACTTTAACATAATATTGTAACATATGTATAATCAATGGTACCTGATATATTATTAATCATTTAACATTATATTATTTTATAACTGCGATGTATTTTTTTTTTTAAATCAATAAACCTTGACTATTTAAGAATTATTATGAATTCAATTCAACAAAAACCACAAAAGCTGAATAATAATAACTTATAAGTCACACGTCAATTTTTCAAGTAGGTAAATAAATACACTGGGAAAATATTTAGATTATACCTTGCGTTATATAAGTATGAAATAAGTATATTTAAATTTAAGTTATAAGTTAACTACATTACTACAATATCTCAGTAATTTATCATAGGTTTTTTATGTGTGCCATTCGTAACGCCGGCAATTTCAGAACTTTAAAATCGTAATTTTATTTTTGATTCAATTATAAAAATTAATATAATACTCAAGTCATATTTATAAAGCAACAATCACATAATATAATAATCGTACAGTATATTTAACTTTTTTACAAACTGTCGTGTCTTTCATACAGTAAAATTTAACCAAGGTACCTAACCATATAACCAAATAACTTCCACGGAAACCCATGAATATAAAATATACTTTTAAAACATGTATGGATTTTAAAAGTCTAAATTWAAAAAATKATTTAACAACTAAAAAACGTATTTTACCAAATTTTCAAGATTGTCGACTTGTCGAGATGAACAAATTTGACCAGACGTACCGCTGGGTGTTTTCACTGATATTATCCTTGTCTCTTGTGTYACAATCAGCTTTTGATATTACGGTACACACGACGTTGTTATTAATATGGCTTATGTTCGATCGTGTATATAAGCCAAGATCGATAAAATTTCACAATAACAACCTTGGCACTTTTGATGACAGTTAAATGTGAAAATATATATGTATGATATCCACATGTCATATAAGTATTGTAGGGACAAGGGTTGACATCGATCCGAAAAATGCATGAACAAATAATATTAAAAACATCCAATACCTTTCCAGAAAAAAAAAAAACATTAAAATCAAAATCAAAATTTAAATTTATATTAATAATATTTAACTCAAACTATTCTTACATCATAATTCATAATATAATCAAAGAAAACTTTATTCTAAAATGTTCTTGGGTAATTATAATTTAATACAAGATATCAATAATATTATTTGCTATATAACCATTAAAATTTACTTAGTATGGTTTTAAATTATTATAAGTTAGTAGACTTCAATAATCGTATGGAATATTGACGCTGAAGAGGTATTATAATATAATTGTGTGCTGGTACTATAAATAGGTAAATAACTATTAAACTCGTAGGTATGTTTAGGTTATAACAAGATCAGCAAATTTTAATTTACTTGAAACTAATTTTTGAATTTTTTTTTTAATGGGTTGGGGGAATTTATGTCATAGGTACAAAGTGGATTTCCAAAAAAATTACCTTAGGTATATCTCCGAAATGGTTCTAAACACACTTATGAGTATAATATTTAATACAATTACACATTTAACGCAAGGCCCTTTATTCCATAATACATATTATACTAACAATCTTTTAACATTACTAAGCTTACAAGATTTTTAGTTTTGTATTTTGTCACTTCATCAAAACTCAATTTGGAACTGTAAAAATATAGACTGCAGCAACAAGACTATCTTTTCAATAAGCAAATAAAATCGATAATTTATATCAAAGGCCTAATCAGTTATGTCCACCACTGTGTTTGTCCGTCGTAACTTTCATTTCCGTGGTTACCATTATTACCTTAATAAAATTATTAGTTTCTTAGGAGTAAAATTCACATACGATTTAATTGAAACTAAATTAATTAATTACATTTATAATGTCTGCTATACAATTATTATATATTTTCTTTTTACGTGTACCTACAAGGCTAATCATATTCGTTTAAGCATAGATAAAAGTTAATTTGAACACATTGAATTTTATTAAGTAAACATAACTAATTAATGATTATATTTCGT